CCATATCTGGAAGCTGTCTCGGAGCTCATGCTCATAACGACGGTAGTAAAATTGTTGGGTACCATGCTTAAGGTGTCCACTTATCAATCACCGCCGATTTACTAAAATCAGTACTACTTAGAATTAACATAACTAAGTATAAATTGATAACAGTGGTTAGCAGCACACATAATCTGTATATAGATGTTTAGCTATCGAAGGTGAAACCTCACGTGTTAATTTGAGGTAGACATATCACAAGCTTGTATGGATGCATGAAGAAAAATGTGTGTGATGGGTAAACGTTTTCTCAAACAGCAGCGAACAAAAGTTTAATAGTTGTGTGCAGATTAAAGTTAACGAGGAAACACGAAGGCTCGCGACTGACTCTTAACCCTAAAGGAAATAAACTATATTAGGTTTCCTGATCAGACTTGGACGCTTCAGCTAAAATTTCGACCAACGACATGAATCGATTAATTTTAGCATGAATTTTCCACCTATCCGCGATGATGGGCTGTTTTTAGGTATCGTGAAAGCTATTTTCCTCGATGGCTGACCAAAATCTGTATGGTGACAAAAATGGCCGCACGTATGAGTAGTGATATGCTATTGGATCGCCTACGGCAGCATTGTTAGCAGTTGTGTTTAGGCTATAATGAGAACAATGGATGGAAAAGTGCAAATGATGCAGCCTTATTGTAATCCTATTGAAGCCTTATTGGTGAGTGGATGTCATCTCGAAAGCGTTATTTCACGGCAGGAAAAAGTCATGCGTGCAAATGTGGAAAGCATATTATGAAGACGCCTATTGATCAATGTCCGATAAACAGAAGTGATGAGCCGCAAGAATGTATGTAGAGCAAATGCATCACTATGAGACAAAACTGTCATGGCTATTGTGGTGAAGTGCAAGTTTAACTATCGCTCAGTGTGATTGCTAGCAGTTGCAAGACAACTTCACCGCTGATTTCAGGGCAGCTTCTTGATGAATTTGCGTCTGCTTAGGAGAAACTTCGAAAATAAAAAAATAATAAACAAACAAATCCTGCACCGATGAAGTGTAGTGATCTAAGGGAAATGATGCTAGTCAAAGGATACTATTGTTCCGCATTCACTTTCTATACGAAGATCGCCATGGATTGGGTTAAACGTTTCTTGAGAAATACCGTAACACACCCGATAGGGCTAAACGTCCAATGACCCGACGTGAATAACCTTTAACAGGACCATTTAGAGTAGCTTCATCGCTATAACCTCGTGCATAATTTGGACTAGACTGAATGTATACCTGTATATATAAACGACATCATTTCTGTATTTGAAGCTGTTCGTATGAAGCAGCAGATATTACCTGAGAACCAGTACCGCTTGATTAGATATATTTTTACGAGCGCACTAAGTACACAGAGCTTTATTACACTTCAGGCAAATATAAACTAATAGACTATAGCGCTGTGTATTAACGTGAATTAATAGTAAAGAAAAAAAAAACTGAGTACAGTGGAGAACTGCACAAAGTGTAGCTTTCCGCCTAAAGTGATTTAAGAAATATAAAAATATCGTATTAATCAGTTATTGAACTGTCTTTGCTGTTTCAGTTCGAACGGCTATTTAGATTGCGATGGATCTGAAAGTGCGAAGAAGTCACAGCTGGTCCTGTTGTCGAAAAAGAAAGTATTCCATAGAACGACGCTCTGTTGACGCTACACGGAGCTCTCTTCCACTTAAAGCGAGTTAAGCTTCGAAGAAAGCTCGCAATCATGCTCAACATAAACACGTTGCTAATGAACGAACGTCGACCTCTAACTAGTTCCCTTTGTTGTACGAACACACCAATATAATGCCCTACAGGCACTCCGGCCCCCCTCTCCACATAAATGCTGAGCGCCCATCTATCCTAAATAGCAAAAAGTAGAAGCACTACCCCCTGACAAACAGTGACAGTGTCACATAGATAAATGTCTTTGAGCGCAGGCGATAATCTTGCTAGGGATCTGGTGCTATGCTTTTTGCTTCAGCGTTTAGAAAATCTCTAAAGCAAGGACACAGTTGTGACTCGGGAAACATTGGAGAGCCATGATGTATTCGTTCACAGAGGGTACATTAGAGAGTGCGGGTTTTGCGGAGCTAATTTGTATAGTTTTGTATATACGTGATATACTACAATGGCAGATATGACACGAAGATTGTACATGAACTGAAACTGCTGTAACAATTGACGGTGTGACTATGAGGAAATGACAGAGCGAAGGTTCCACAAAGACGCGTTATACAAAGCAGGATAAGAGTGAATGTTTGTCAAGTGGAATTCAGTAATTGTAATGAAACGATGAAAATGGCAGTAATTGGAAAATATGAGCGCTGTTTTTGGTGTTAGGCATGCTTCGCACACATAGAGTTTGACAGATCGCATCAGCCTACAATGCTAGACACGTGAACTAAAATAGCTATAATATAGTCAAATCTTAAGACTTTCTAGTTCGACCGTCTAGTCACACCGACAAGTACGTTTTTATTAACATAAGCATAGAAGATTGCAGTACTAATAATACACATCGTGCATCGTGCACAGAAATGTTAGTTAGAATCTATTATAGAAATAATGTTCTTACTCTTACTTGATAGTCGGTCGTATCGAACCTTTTCGTCTGTGGATATGTTAAAAGAGGTGCATGATATCTACAGAGAACATTTGGTGCGCTTTTTTCCCGTGACCAGTTATTATTATTTTTATCTTATATCGTCCACTGACTGCTTTTTTGAGAAAAGATCAGTTGTTTCTTTTACCAAGGTTGTGCTTACTGCTGTATACCGGTAACTGCTATTGATCATAACGTCTACGAAACTGGCAAGCACTTCGATGCACAGTCAGACGAGCTTTAATGATTTTGAGTAATTTTTCCAGATCCTCTTACTTATCTAGCGTACCAGCGATCTGGTTACGTGCGTATGTCCTTTTCTTAGTACATTGGTTTTGTAATCTATTTTCTTCTCATATAAAACGTTTCACTTAAGCAAATTCGTAGGAAGCGAGATGCTCGAATAATGGTTCTCCGTTGTAGACGATTGGGGTCCTGCTGTCACATGCAGCTGGGCTTTATTCCGTGTCTATGGTTGGCTGACTTAACACTAGTCACCGCGTTCACTGCACAATAATTGGCAAGCTATAAGTCTTTTTTGTTAAATCACATGTGATATGATAAAAATTGCACACAATGCCCGCAAGAAACAAGATTCTGCAACTAATTATTTCCGTCAAGGGCTGTGGCGAAGTTCTAGGCTTTCCAATAAGACCATCAGATTGACAATATTATATATTCACACGAATACAGGTCAAGTACAATGAAGGGGAGAACTGAGAATTGGCAGCGTCGTGACGACGACATATTTCGCGTTTGTTACGGTAAACGAGATTCGTATAACGATTCTGGTCACACCACTAATTTTATAAATACCTAAGGTCAGTGAGCGATTGTCAGTGAATTTCAGAGGTGGAATTGAATGCACTCATAAATCTCTTGCCCGGCTTTCTAGCCAACGGCAGTATATAACTATAAGCACAACGTTGTTTAGATGGCTCGTACTTCCTCGGAACAGACCTTCAAGCCGGCCAAAGGCTTTCATCACCGAGACGGAAGACGTGGTGCACCGCATCCACCGCCGGAGGAATCCGTGACCTTTTTAGGGAAAGATACGGCCTTAAGAGGAACGAATTCAGGCAGTCCTCGCGAAATCCTATTCAACAACGAGTGAACCTTGCAGCACTGATATCCCGATGGGTACTTTTCTCTAAGTAAGATTGCCTAGCGCAAGATGCGCGCATGAGCTGGGCCAGCAGCAAATTCTGTAGTTCTTTCGGATGACACCTACTCTTTATGGGCTAAGAAATGAATGCTTTGTTCCTGTTTTTCTGCATTTCGCGGTATCATCTGCTGCGTCCTCGCCATCTCTTTTACTGCCAGGGCAACCATTTGTATAATATCCTATCAAAAGCCGTCCTCTTCCAACCGATGCCTAATTACCAGTCTCGCTATATTCAACCCCAACAATGCTCTAATCTTAATAATAAGCTAATTATAGATCAAACTGATTATAGTAGAGCTCATGCGACTGTAGGGTGGACTGTTAACAAACGTTAGCTCAAATCTGTGATTAGAAAAATATTTTCACTTTTATGCCATATTATTTGCGTTAGACCGAATAATTCAACGATGGATCCTATAGACTTTTTTTCTCTCTATAGCCGTAAAGAACTGTTTCCACAGTAAACATTTCGGGTATATTCGTTTTTGTTTAGTTTGCAGCTGACGATGCATCCGCTAGCTGCTCTCTATTGGAGACGCAGTTCCTTTAGCTAGACTGCATATTGGGTACCGTAGGCAGGATTAGCAAACGATTCGGCTGCAATTGCGTCCAATCCCTCCTAAATTTACTGACGGTCATGTACTGACCTCAACTTGTTTCAAAATAGGGTATTTTCTATTTAAAATGCTAGTTCTTAAAATCGAAGTAGAACAAGCAGCCGTTATAGTGTACGTCAACTAAACAGGACACGATAATAAATATGCCTCTGAGTTCAACTTTGAAATGTTCTGGTTTAGTGGCAGTCCTTTTACTCTAAAAGGTAAAAAGAAAACAATTTAGTGACGATATTTGGCTCCTACGATAACACTATGTCTGTTAGTCTACCTGCTTAAGTATCGGTTCAACCTTTGAATGATACCTAAATATTAAGACGACATCACGAGTTCTCAAATAATAAACACAGGACCTTCTATTAATATTGAACGAGCATTAAGTCAGTGCGTTCACAGACGGATGATTCATTAGAGAAATGTACTTATATGTTAGTTCGTCACACGCTACTGCTGGCCATCTGACGTTGATTTGCCAATAATCTAGGCAATCTCTGAGCAAAAGCTATGACCTTCTTAAATACATAGTCTCTTCATAGTGATTTATTTGAATATATGTATTTCACAAATAAAAATTAAATGCAAAAGAATCGAAATCATAAATAGACAAATAATCTTCAATATACCACTCTTTATTGTAGACAATGCCAACATATATACTTGTATGATTATCGCTGTTATGTTTCCTTACAGTTACTTTTCTTTATCAGTGTTTCGTGCTATCAGTTTAATTTTTGTTTGTTCTTTATAGAAAGGTTACGGTAGAAGAGTGCAGTACTGTGCTGTATTTAGTCGATTTATATTCTCCTCTGCGCTTCGTTATCTGCTATTGTTCTTATTTTTGCTGTTGTTATGATTGAATGTTTATTTTATAACATCATAGTCGAAAATATTTTGTGATAATGATAAATCGGTTGTGTATAACCAAGAAAAACCATACGGTGTCGCGTTTTCCGCGAATTCGCGCCCGCGAGACACCGTGCGTCTTGTCATACGTTCGTCACAATCACTTTTTATGTACTCAATATTTGCCCCTCTACTGTAATAGTTGTGTTTCTTTCTAGAAAGCAATTACGGATAGTAGCACCGCACAAGGTCTGTGCATCCTGTGCAATGTCGTCAGGATCCACTACTCGTCTATTTTACGAAAATTCAATGCTACATAACATAGGTAATCAGTTATGTCAAGAGGAAAAATCTGGATAAAGAGAACTTTTTCTCTTTATCAAGTTAAACATATTGGCTCTGTCAAAAGATATTGTTTCCCGAAACAAGCCTGTTGCCCTGGAACCTTTACTTCATATAAATGAGTTTCACATATTGGCCGTAATTTCGGGATTTAATCGTCACCTACCTAGTCGTTCCCTGCATTCGAACAGAAGTTCATCTATGTCATCGTGATAATTAAGGATAGATATTCGAAAATAAAGCATACCATCTTTCTGACGCGTATTCACACTTAGTCCTTGTCGTCACCCTACTTCCTTGGTATAGAACAATGGCCTACGTCCATTTCAAACGTGTTAAAATAACGAATTCACCTGCTTCCACTCATATCACCACATATTCTGAGGGGCCCTCTAGCGGTACAACAGCTACTGGGAGCGTGATTTTCGATAGGACGGTGTAAAGAGTCGCAGTGACGGGAAAAAGGGAACTGACACGGGAAGAAGAGAAATCCGATTCACCTAACCTCTTCCTAACGCAACGCTAGCGTTAGATCTTCTACATTAGGCTATGAGTATTTCCATTTGACATGTTGTTCTTGCTTTATCTTCGTCGAAGCTAACTTGTTTTAATGCATCGGCATCGTCTACAGCACTGTGATCTCTAAGCAAGTTTTGAAAATACCATTAGTACTCTTTCTCTGAGTCTAGACACTAGCAATTTTTCTTTTCATTCCTCCACTAGCACCTATTTAAATGAAACATTACCAATTGGCGAAAAGAAAATTACTTTTTGCCTCTGTCGTCCTGCATCTCGTCTTTATGCCTATTTCATTGTTAGGCCACAACCCCAAAGAACCCACTTTCAAGAACAATTATCAGCATCACCATCAATATCACCATTGTGATTAATACAGAGCGGAGCACAAACATCGATTCACACACAACCACACGCTCAGAAACATGCTGGCACACGCATATACCGCAGACATTGTTTTGAATACGCACCATGATACCCAGAAACTGCAATAACACTCTTTGGGCAGATAACATTATTATGATATCTGGCCATGATACTACATCACGCAGTTTTCTAAAACGCGGGAAAGGGGGGCGAAAAGTGTCATTGGTTAGAAAGCGACTACAAATCTTTCAAGAACAGATCTTTTCTTATAGGGATGAGATCTAGTTTTTACGGGACGTAACCACCATTACCACTACTTCTGCATTACAAACAACGATTATCACCTCTACCGAAATTATTATTTCCCTCGCAAGCATCCAACGCATTGTCTTTTATACCAAACTTTATTATGCTGTGCACCATGGATAGCTGATTGGCTTGCAAACGAAAAATGGTTTAAATGTCATACATCTACTGAAGTCGCTCGCAAGACAAATCGCCTACTGTTGTTCGGAAATTAGTTTAACCCTAAGCCGTATAACTAAGACCGACCACACCAATATTGCGTTGCGCTTCAACCTAAGAATAACAAATCTACCCGTGTAAATGATATACAGTTTACATGACCACATATAACATCGATTTCAACGTGACAAGTCGCTATAATAAAAACAAAAAATAATTGTTATACAGAGGCACAATGAATCAACCATGAGGTTTATAACTGCGGACATGTATACCTAAAACATTTTAATAAAAGACACGCCGTTCAGTGTTTGAATCGCTACTTTAAGGGTATCACCTCACGTCGTCTTTTACCGTATTCAACCTCTCCTTTTTTAAAAGCTAAAACCAATTAGGCGCAGAAAACCAACAACCAATCGAATGAATTTCCAAACTTCCCTAGCCATCTCCAAGCAGCTCGTTCACATCCGCCCATGATAAGTCCTTGATGTCCACAGGATTTTGTCGTATTTTCTATTGTCGGGGAGGGGAAGCAATATGCAGCGCGTTTTTGAGGCGATCTCTACCAGCCGCCCACTGATATATTTCAAATCAGTCCTCACATACCTACCCAACGTTTCTATGCAATTGCTTTCTCTCAGCATCGATTTTGCTCCATTAAAACGCCGAAATATCCTTAATATATTATATGTAGAGCTTTCCTTCTTGCTGACATAACTGTGACTTTTACACGAAAAAATAGGATCATCATATAGCCGTTATTATATTAATGTTAATCCTGTTATTTATCTACTGTTATTACGCTATATTTCGTATCTTACTTAGTTGGTTTTTAGTATTATTTTGTTAGCCATATCATATTATTATTTTTAGTTGTTAGATGATGAAACCGCTTATTGCGGCGGCCGTATCCTTTTCGCGTTTTCCATTATTTCGCCATTTGCTTCCATACTCAAATGTGTCTGTATGTATATTTACTGCGGATCTGCTGTTAGCTATTGTTATAAATATTGTATTGTTGCTGCTTCGACTTTTTGGTTGAGTTTATGTTTCTACATTAAGCATATGATCTCTCTATATTTATTAGCAACACCCGCCAGACTGAGTTTCGCCGGCAGAATTTGCTCCACCGGGACTGCTGCTCGCCTGCTGGGGTCCTAGCTTGATGCCGTTTGCCTGAAATAGGAACGAAACAATTATACCAGATACGTGATCAATAGTACTTATACCACAAGGGAAAAATATACAAATGGCTGATAACTTTCTTAGTCTAGACTCGGTGACTTATCTCGCTTGAGGTTCAACAATCGAATTAATAATAATAAAACTTATACCCTTAGATGGAAGAAGACATTATAATTAGTCTTATTCCCTTCAGGGTGTAAGTATGTTAATATTTACGGAACATCTTAAAACGGCTCTTAACAAGTAATATATATATGATGAGAACATGAAAAAAATCTGTTTTAGCTAGGAAGCACACGATTTTTTCAATAGAATCTATAGATTAAGGAACATTTTTTTGCTATAACCGTCGTTGAATCGGTTGAAAATTTATGAAACATTCCAGACACTATTCTGTGACTTCTATACGGTGGGCACGGTCCTGGTTTTTTAGAAAAAGTATTTTTTTAAATCTTAAACCTGCCACTTCCTTATGAAAACAATAAAATATCAATGTTCTTACAATGTTTTATTTATTCATTTGATTCCGCACGCAGTTTAATATTTATGTGAAGTTATACAAGGTAAGCTCAGTCATGTTGGGATAATGGAATAGCTGCACAGTAAATGAAATAGTCGAAAGAAATAAATGAGAAAGTGTTGTAGAATAACGAGATAGCTGGAGCTTAGTTACGGGATACCTTTTTTCGGATGAGCTTAAACACCTGAACAGCGTTACTCTTGCAACAAAAAATGCTGAATCGGGATAATTGAAAAAAGAAAGCACAGTTGACGAGTGACGAATATTATCCTACTGGTAAAGTGGGCCTGCGTTAACCAGCATTACAGGATGCAATAAAATGCTCAGGTAAGGAGCTGGTTTCACAGTTTAGGATCGATAAGAAAAAGTCGCAATAGCCTTGAACAACGCGCAGCAAAATACGTTGCCCTTAACATGTATGAAAGATAAAGATGCCAAGGACATATGAGAATGAATATTTTGTACCTGGACTACATAGCTGTTAAAGATGGATCGATATATGGTGTGTCTGCCTGAGCACAAGTCAAATGGCGACGACGACCACTCGGTGTCGATGGTAATAATATCAATAATAAGAAAAAGTACGCTATGTTTCCTAGTAGCCGTATTATAACATGTCATACCTCATTGTTGATATCGAAAACACCTTCCTCAATCTTCTCATAGATCTCTTTTGCGGTCTTGATGAAGGCGTCTTCAACGTTATCTGCAGTTTTGGCCGATGTTTCCATGAAGACCAGTCCATGTTCCTGCGCAAACGCTTCGCCTTCCTCTTTCTTCACCTGACGACGGCCTTCCAAGTCGCTAAAATTGGAAAAAAAATTTCACAAACAAGTTAGATAACTGAAATACCGCTAAATAACGTACTGGTCGTAAAAATACGTACTCCACTTGAAAGAACCACAGTAGGGAAACTACGACAACGTCATTTAATAGTAATACTGTTAAAGAGTGTTAAAGATTGGTAGTGCACACGTTTAAATTTACCTCTTATTTCCAATGAGCATTATAACCATATTAGAGTTCGAATGTTGACGGGCATCCTCAAGCCACGTGGTTAAGTGGTCAAAAGTATCCCTTCGGGTAATGTCATACACGAGCAGAGCCCCTGCGGCCCCACGATAATACGATCTTGTGATTGAACGGAATGCTTCTTGACCCGCCTGAAACCGAAGACAAAGATTAAGCAGTTTTACGTGTTTCTTGCGCGGTAAAAGCAAATGCCTTAACACAGCGGTTTGGTGATTCTTGATAATCACCATACGGCAAACTGTATCTGTCAGGGACACTGCGACATGACGTTTTTAACGCTCAGTTTCCAATGTATGATATTTATCGGAATAAAAGAAATGAAACAATCTCTGTAAGCTAAAATCTATATCTAATATCGCGTGAAAATACCAGACAACCTAACTACAATTAAAATCAACGCATCTTTCAGTATTTTGCTTGGAAAAAAACCATATGTTGTGGGTTGCTAAATGCAACCTTCGTGTGAAGAATTCATAATATTGGCCTCGCGTCGGATAGGAATAGTACTTGCCGTGTCCCAAATCTGCAGTTTGATTTGCTTCCGATCGATTGTGATCATGCGCGCGCCGAATTCAACTCCTGAAGTACAAACAAATCGTTGTAAAAAAGATACGTAATATGCAACAGCATACAATGCTGATGTACAAATATTACATAACACTGTAAAATCTGACAAATGTCAATGTTAGGCTAACACAACTCTAATACGTATCTTTCAAGTATAGCTATTTCCTTCCTATTGAAGGCAAAAAGTAAGCGGCTCACAAGATATGTTCCCCAAAGCTTTTCAGAACGCATTTTGTCGCACGTCATTTTTTTATTTAATTAGCTCAACATTATGTCGATAGGCATCGTCCTGGACTAAAATGAAAATGAGTATAGGCGCCGTTTTCATATTTATACACGAATAGTATGTTTTGCATGGCTGAATGGGGACAATCGAACACGTCGAGTTCTATGATACATTCTCTCCTGCTTGTTCGCACCTTGTTCGAATTTTACAATGACCCTACATCTTGACATACGTTATCATACACACATGACATGACATACGGATGCAATTACCAGCAAAACTTCAATGTCATCCCGAACTTTACCTCGTCTTGTTCCTATCGCTTTAAATTAAATGTTTGAATGAACGGCAGATATCTTAAAACAAACTTAGTGCCTATTAAGTGCTCGTCTGATGTGTTTGATCATAACGAGTGGATTAAATACACAGCCATAGGCGGAGATCGGGCCAGTTGTTTTCAAGAGACTCGTCTCCCGCTACAGAGTAAACCTTATGAAGGCCCTTAGACGTCTAAGGAGAAGAGCGTGTACCACAACCACATGGTCTCGTTATTCTTCCTTTACGTTGTTACCTGATACTAACAGGAAACCATAATATGATACGAAAGCTAATGTTAGCCTAGTAAGTCTAATCCCCGCATTTAACACGCTATATAGGTGTTCTGTCCCAGCCCTATAAAGGTCTTAGAATAATTTGTTGGGCCGCATTTAATAGGGTTCGCTACAGGCGATTTTTGGCACTTGACAACTTTCATATTATTCTACCGGATCTAACTTCTTCGCTGATGCAATCCCGATTATGTGCCTTCCAAGACAACAGAAAATTAAACAAGATATCCTTATAAGCTTCATTAATGTCCTTGCAGTGTGCTGTCGTCGACGTGCAGATATGCAAAGCTTCATTGTAGGCCCTCCGTGAACGTTTTTTTAGCCGCAGGTGTAAACAATTGCCTCACAGTGTTGTGTTTTTGTGCAAGAAGTCCTCACGTGCTGTTCAGCCACATTCTATCTGTCAAAATCTATCTATATGTTAATAACCTGAGAAGAAATAAAGTGTGTAAGGACGTAAGACTTTCAAAAATGTCACATCCGCTACTACGGATTAACTAGTTAAAGGAGCGCGATACAGGAACGAACCCCGGGTGTTTTTTTGGTAAGAAGTAAGATTCAGCTGATCTGAAAAAGATTATCAATGATATCACTGTATATTAGCATATAACTAAAGTAATAAAATCAGATGCAATCGACGGGCGAAGGCATTATCATTATTCATAACGAAGTTACGACAACATAAGTAATTTTTGTTGACAATTTCGTTGACAACGGGGCATAGCGAATACTATTTCGGCAATGTTGGCTGTTTTCTTCGCACGCACAAATGCTTGCCCTATAACAACATCAGATCTTACCGATGGTGAGGTCGTGGACGGGCTGGAAGCGCTTATCAGTGAATTGAAGGAGAAGGCAAGATTTGCCCACACCTATAAACAAAACCAGAAAAACACACGAGATTGACGCAAGAATCCTATAGATAGATTTGAAGGAAAACACCTATTTATATTATACTAGACCCTCATCTTGCCTAATATAGCAGGAGTTCATACATTTTGATCCTTTTTGTTTGCCTTAGAGGGGCCAAAAATTGAGTCGATGCTGGCATATGAAAAACGGAAAATAATGTGACGTCCATAATCATCATCTCCATAATATAAAAAAAGCGAACGAACGTAAACATAGAAAAAAATTACATGTGTTCTCTGTAACTTTCGCGATCGAACACGTATGAGCTCACATGCCTGAACTGTATAAGCACGTGTTGAGTGTTAATCTGCAAGCTGACCCTACGACCAACGCAATGCGTCTGCCGCTAACGTGACGCCAGTTACCCAGCTATTGTTGGTCAATCGGGTCTGAACGTAGGACGCGACGCGAAGTGTGTTATAAAAGTAGCTATGAAGAGTTCTGGCTCATGAACGATGAAGAAAATTAATTTTCATCTATTTATTCTTTTTTACTTATAAAATCAAGTTTCTTTGCTTTTTTGCAACCTGGCCCATTTGTCCATGGAGCCTCCCATCACAGCTTGTTGAAAGGTGCATTCGGTGCTCACCGTTCGCGAAACAGTACTAAACTTCCGTACTGTCTAATGCTTATAAGCAGAAATCTTTACCCCATATGGAAAAAAAAGGCGGGTAATTGTACAAAATTGACCACAAGCTGTTTGCCGGGCATAATCAAACAGCTTACATTTTATAAAATAAGCTAAGATTATATGGACAAGCTATTTCCGACACGCGTCAAAATTATTGTTTCTTTTGTATGAGAGCAGCCACGTTCATCAGTTTTCACCTATAATTTACACCATTCCTAAGCATAGTAAAGTATTGAACTTATTTATTGTCCTGAACACTAACGATCCAGTGGGTGAGTGTAGTCAAATCGTGAACAAGTTTGAGAGTATAAAATGGCCGCTAAAACAATTGCTTTTTTGACTAAGAGCGAGTTGTTTCGCTAATTCCGTTGTGCAGTACCAAGCAATCACGTTACCACCTTAGCTTACATGTGAATCTAACATATCGTGATATATTTAAGGTGATGATTCCAAATGCAAACGCCTGCAAGAATTAGTTGCAAGGGCCCAATGGATAGATTGTATTTCATCACTCATTATCATCTGTAAGTTCAGTGTAAGAAAGAGTGTGATTGTAGTCGACTTCAGGGAGGAATGGAAGCTAATTTCATTAGGTATATAAGTGTCCCACTGTTCGGTCTAAAGTTATCCGCGCCTCAACCAATGTGAATGTCACGCTGCGTCTTCTAAATTCATGGCAGGAGCACAATCCCTGCTAAATGGCTTCTAGACTTTCTGAGAAAAACTTTGTCGGAGGATCAGACACTGCCCTAGCAGCTACCCAGAAAAAAAGAAACCCAGAGAAATCGCAGAATAAAATAGCTTTATGCAACGCTATGATTTTTTTAGTATTTATCATTACTTGCGAAACCCCCCTGAGTTCCAAGTTCTACCGTTCGTTTTTTAACCGCATCGCCGAAATTATTCTGATAGAATACTCCAACCCTAAATATCGGCGTTGCACAAACAAAATGCCACATTGTCTACTATAACAACATTAAAATAGATTATATGCGCGATACGAACCGCTGCACCTCCTGCATGAATGGCTTGTCCTTCATATTACCAGGCCATGTCTAATAGACAGATGGGGTATATATAGGTCATATTTTGTGATCTGACTTGTTCAGCATCATTATTTGTGTACGTTCCATTTCAATCAGTCCGCTTTCGATTGCCGATAAAACGCTATTGTATACCACATCCTGCTAAGAGCAATATTTCCACTGCACATTGAGCATGTAGTCATCCGGCAGCATAACAATGTCTTCTATACGAATAAATGGAAATCTTGTCTCCTTATTGTTTCTGGTACTGTTTCATCTGTGTGGCGTACGTTTTTGCCTTGTTCCGTGTTCCTTGGATTGCTGCAGGTGAAAGGCACAAACGAGACTGGAAAGAGGCTACGCTGTGACTACGCAGTGGTGGCAGGCAACGCAAATAAATCAACCGATCAAGGGATTTTTCTCGCCACATAACGATCTCGCTATTCGTACTGCATCTACGCTTTCTTTCCCTCGACATGAATACAAATACACCTTATGAACATACGCACGCTAAAATACGTACTAGGATAGACATGCAGACATACAAATGGCAGCAGTGTTAGTAATGCAGGTTGTACATGGACCAAGCCACTATATCCTCTCAAACAATGTCGTTCGGGCTGTCCTATTCCACACCAGGCTCGAACGTGCCTGATCTAGTATAGATGTATTCGGCCCAGCACGATCTTAATAACGCTAATGATAACAACGGCAACAGCACACTTACCCGTGTCTCCGATGATGATGTACTTAAAGAGATACGCGTACGACATCTTGATGTGCTTGACTTGCCGATCTCTATCAGTAAGTCGTTTGGAACTGTGTTATGACGGAATGACAATACTGTCGTCACAGGTGTGATGACGGATACGAATTTGTTTCTGACCCGTTAGTTATGGCTGATTTCTCGGATAGGCGCTGATTCGCTTCTCCTCGTCAGCTGATGATAGCATTAACTGGAAACACGGTGGACATCAGAAACACTAATAGACCAGAAGGGGATCAGGCCACTAGCGGTACAATCTGTAATGCCTGCTTGTCTACCTTCTGGTCAGCTGTCCAATAATAACCTTCTCACAAAGCCACTTGGGGCGAGCCGGAACCGTCGAATATACAGAGTACACTAGTGTCCGTACCCGTGGTACAGTGCAGTGTTATTCAACTATCGAAATACCTCACGTTCGTTCGTCTGGCTGTCTGTTCACCGCACTCCTATCGAAATCGATAGATCTGCTCCGTGTTAAATTAGATCTGTTGTTTTCCTGTCTGTCGCTTAGAGTCGCGGTTGCTGCGGCGATCTTCAGATTCAATTGACGACGAATCTGTAGCACGTCGATGCACGGCTGCCTTTTACTACAACTGACCTGTCTGTTTGCCCGACAGACGCAAGCCAGCCAATCAGCAAGCGAACAACTAAAGGCGCAGGCCTACGCTAACAGCTGCTGCAACGTAGCGAACGGAACGGCAACACCAACAACAACAACAGCAGTGGGGCGTTGGATTTGCTTGCGACAGCAGCGATAGCATTAACTAGCGCTAGCGGCAGAGCAGAGCGACACTCCGTCGCCGCGATTACGACCACTAGGAGCAATCACTCTCTTTTCTTACCTCTCTCACCCGATCGCCACTGTCATTATTGACAGCAAAGCGCCGACGACTTCGCGGCGGCACCAGCGGCAGCAGCAGTGGTAAAGCAGACGACAAACGACGATAATATCAGTGAAAAAAGATAAACCGTAACAGCGGCGGTGTCAGCAGTAAAAGTATAGACTATCACCATACGATGAACAGCAGCCCACGACAGGCTGACCAAACAGACTAGCGCCGCTAGCGCTAATTGCTGGACATAGTCAGAATCATGGACATGTGACTAGTAGCGCCGCCAGTGACAGCTTCGGCTAAGCCATTCACTATCCTTTTTCTCACCGTAGGAGCTTATGCTGACATACGCGATGACGTCGGCAAAAAGAGCACGGTTTAAATCAGAGGCTGAATACGCACAGAACCGTGCAGGTAAATTTTCTCTCGCTCCTTTCGCACTGCTGTTTTATGCCATCTGGTTAACGCGTAACAAAAAAACAGTTTGCACAACAATCGTATCGGTCAATACAATTGTTCTGCAAACTGCAACTAAAGCATAAAATAGCCAATTAAGGATAATGTATAAGATAACATCATCATGACAATTAATCTTGTTTCCATTGCTTAAATCGGCGTATCTGTGAAGCGTCTTTGTCCAATTCACACTAGTCGCCTATATATATATATATATATATATACATATATACACGAGAAGTTGTTTCCCTATTTTCACAAATACAATCCCTGTGATGGCTGTCGTTTCATCGCGGACGGACGTACATACGTTTAAAGACAAATTTACATTTGGTTATTTATATGTCAGTCCTTGCTCCTGTGTTGTTCGGCGGTGCCCCAGCTGATTTTGCAGCACAGGGAGACCTTTAAGGCGATGCGCGCGAGTAGCTCGGCTTGTAAAGAGCGAGATGTGTTGTTTATTGTAACAAAAACGCTGAGAAAGACCTGTAGTCACGAGCGAATTGGGTGGTGGTATACCAGTTGTGTTGTGCTTCGGGTAATATCTCTATATAAGCGACATTTAGCGCTGTGCACTTCACTCAAGATGCACATAGTAATACACAGTAATCACAGCAAATAATATAAAATTAAGCGAAGGATGCAACCTTCTTCACATTAGCTGTTATAGGGGTGCAATTCAACAGTGGTAAAGTCTAGCATGGGCTTCATAAGAACTGTATAAAAAGGTCAGGCTGGTAGGTTTGGAACGAATACGTTACACTCAAGCAATTGTTTCTAGTCCTGCAAAGCAGCGGTGTCTGGCAGAAGAACAGCGTTGACTCTGAATCTGAACTAGTGGCATAGTGCTGTTGGCAACGGAACGAACGCTGATAGTGGCGTCGCTCAAAGAAGATGGCTCGAGGAGCCGGAGGACGACGAGTGCAGGTGTCGTCATGTAAAAGTGAAGAGCCTCCAGGGCCGCCCCCTCTACCAAGACATCTGCCGAGGCCGGCTGTCAGTACACCATCGCCTCTTCGTTTCCAGCTGTCCGCAAGCATGTTCGCTCTAATCTGCCTTGCAGGTAATCAAGGGGGCAATTCTTTTTCCTTTTTATTGTAGCCTACATTTAAAATAGGTGACGTGAATCGGATTTTAATATTGTTCTCCTATAATATTGATGCAAACTCTGTGTAATGCTGTATCGCAAATTTCGGTGGTGAAAAATGTCCGATGACTTGTGACAATAACAATTAAATAGACGAAAGTCAGAAGATCAAAGAATGGCTTCAATTTTGAACTTAGTCCTCCGTTTAGAGATAGACCGAATATTGGTTGCATTGTTGTTTTTTTAAAGCTAGGATGAAGTTGTTATGCATCAAGGAAATCGCATATCCGGTAACGATGATCGGTATAGTGTACAAATAGCTAGAAAAAAAAATACGCCTGAGTAAGTAGCTTCAACTGATGTTAGGCTTTCGTTTTCGCTTGAGGTAAGAACGGTTTAGAAGTCAAGAAAAGAGAGCCTAATTTAAAAGTTCTCGATTCTAGCAATAAGTTAATTCCTTTCGAAGTTAAAATTCTATTGTCATGTTTATACCAGGCATGGGACCAAACTCCTCTAGAACATGTATGCTCTTTGAAGTAGGATTTTGTAATAGCTTAAATTGCCGTGACGCTGATTTGTAAGTTGATTTGCGGGCGTGAGCCCATATGAAAAGCGTAGGTTATCATCATCACCGTAATTAGGTTAAGGTTTCATATACTATTTTGTGTTACACAGAAAATAGAAAATCAGGCTTACAGATCTGATTAGAAATATCTAAATTTATTAAATTTACTTGTACTGAACGAGGTATAGCCGACACGATTCGAAGCGCAAATTTCACGTAACGTTACTGTTAGCGAATGTCGCTAGGTGCATGGTCATTGTCTTATATTAATATAGATATATCGATCGACGAATTGATTTTCTGTTGAAAAATAATGAATAGTATTGTCAGCGTTGCTTCTCCGGTGATATCAATTATAGCAATATTATAATTAGAATATAAAAAATAAGCTCTTGTTGATTTGTTACTGATACAGTCGAGGATACACATGTAGGATGTTTTTGTACGCGTATGGTCTTCGCATATAGTTCATTACTGTTCTTTCCACCAAAACGCTGTTAAGCTTTATCAAGAGCGAAGATGGTATGTGTTGTAAAAGTGTCAGATAGAGTTCAAGACAATACGTGCAGGTCTAGTAGCCTCTTTACGTATATTTATTCATTATTACAAGTAAGCAGAAATATAAAGCAATTATCCTCCTTTGAAATTAGCTTTTAAACTAACCGTAATTGTAAATATATATCTTATGGGAATAACAGATTTGCAATGGACTCGCTTTGAAGCAGATACTATGATGTTGTGTCACTGGGATATTGTTGAATCGGGGCATAATTCGAAAACAAGCAGGGATTCTTTTGCAGTTACCAATTATAGTACAAATTTAAGGCCACTCTCTAGAAACCAAGTTATTACACACCAAGTAATTCTAATTTCTTATTGTTATATTTCTATTTTCTTTCACCTCTTTTATGCCTACGATCGTTATTGTACAGCGCAATACGTGAATCTCTATCATACCGTGTGGTGGCTCCCGTTGTCCCAACAACATCACGCAGTCAACTATCAGTTGATCTGTCGACCGACGGCTATGTTTATTTGCGCAATCCTATGCCGACGTCTCCCCTGCGCATTGCTGGCGCGCGTAAAGCCGAGGGAAGCGGGCGTGGTTTACCTATTACCCGTTCTTGGCATTGCGACATTTCAGGTATGATGCATACGAGTAATAATTTTGCCAACACGTGAGCATAAAATTTTTTATAGGCATATAACTATCTTTTTATTTCTGCTTATTGATTCCGTGACACCATGTGCACACGCTGTTCTGTTCTTGCAGATCTGTCGTTCCTATGGCTTGTTATCACTAGTATTTTTACTCTATCCGAGTCTTATATACTGCGGCGTGTTCGGCTTCACGTGGACGCCACTCATGTCACCTACAGGATGCAGTGATGATCCTCCAGATCATCTGTCGTGCCTCGCCGCAAAACCAACAGACATCCGACAAGAAGCAGCTAATTTTCGAACAGACTTCAATACTCGGTAAAATTTTGTATTTGATGGGCATTTGAAAGACGTCGGCTATGATTTGGCGGTGCGGTTCTGTCTTATTATTTGTTCATTCACAGCCGGATATTGGCAGGCGAGGGGTCAAACGGCTGTGAGACGTTATCGAGATACTCCGATCATAAGCATGATCTTTAACAAATACGATACTTTTGAATCAAATTTAACTGTTATGAGTGTACAATACTTCATTTGAAAATCCCGATAATTTCACGATCATTAACGTTTACGGCTTACGTTAAAATGTACACCTGTCTAACTATTTTTCGTTTTATACGCACGCGTTTTGCTACTTCTAACTGTACCCGTTCCACGTTGCGTTTTTCAGTTTGAAATTAGTCCTATTTGACTCACTTCTAGTCTACTATTATGCGTCATTTGAGCCTTGCGCGTTGATGTCGTTTCATCTTCATGTGGACTTCTGTGCTTTATTCGCCCACGGATGGGCCACCTGGCTTGGGGCATTATCGCTATATGCAAATTACTATTTTGACCCTGTTTATATTGACGCAGTCCATAGGTGAGTCGCCGAAGTATGGAATAATTTTGTTCGGCGTTTATTACAATCGTACTTAAAAATAATCGATATTCTAGTCTAGCTAGGACTATGATGGGATGACTCAACACATGAGGTCGTCATGCGACATCTACCTCAGTTAAGGTTATGGATTTACTAGTACGCCAACAGTGTACATTATTAGTACTACATAACAATGGCTAGCATGCGCTTTTATTTATTTGCTATTATCACTATTTTTGTAAATCTACACACACGTTGACTTGCTTCTCACCGCTGCCACCCTTGGAACTGTGGTAGTACTTCGACGCTTCTATCGGAGCTAATTTGTTATGCAAATGTCACAATCGCATATATACGCGTCTACATAATACTAAGATATTTTCACTTAACTGTTATGAAATGCTGTTAAATGCAAAAATCTCAGGTGCGCGGTGCATCTCGGTAGGTGGCAGCGCGTGGAGCCCCGACATGCTCCGCACCATCTATGGTCTGATCATTGTTTCTGGCCGCAGAACAATCTAGTAAAGGTCAGTAAATCAATTTCTGCAGGATGAATGTGTTAAAGAACAAATGAAATTACTAAGCATACTATTTTTATGCACAATCTGGCGATTGAATATTGTGCAAAAACCAATTCATCAGTTTTGGATACTTATGTAATAGGTGCGAACAAAAGAGTACTTCCGTGCGGAAGCTGTCTGCAACGCTGCCGAGCCGGGCAACGTGTCCCATCTCCGGCTATACGCACTGTTCTCGCAACCTCAACAGCTGACGCGAGTTCTCATGTTACTCATTATACTTCAGGTACCGTTAGTTTCTAAGATTCGCACATATCCCCTAAAATAGTGACCCAATTCTAAGTGACATTCAATCGAAAATAGTAGATTTCCACTTAGCATATGAACATCGGAAACTGGAACTGCTGCTAAGTTCTCGTAGATTTCAACTCACTTTTATGCTAAAGTGCAACGCCAAACATGATCAGCATAGACACAATGTTTGAGATTGGGGAGGATGGAAACAAACTATTCTTTTTATTGCTGTTGTTGTTGTGGATGATCGTTTTTTGTTGCAGATTAGCAGTCAGTTGTGGATGTTGGTGACGGCGCGCTATTGGCAGCATAGCGTAGTGGCTGTTCTGCTGCTGTTAGCGGGGAGCTCGAGTCTTTTTCGGACTGTGCGCCAGCATCTCATTACGAAGAAACTGTACATGGCCGAGAGGGATCTTCAGGAAAACTCTCAGTTCAAATGAGCCTTCAGCACCACCGCACAATGCCAGCGGCAAAAACTTAACCTGGATAGAAACAATTATCAGAGATCAACAACGAAAAAGATTCGCCATTTTGACAATACTGCCTATCAGTAGCTAAACCATGCTAAATGGCAGCTATGTTTTTCTTTAAATCCGCATGTTGAATTGTGCTCTTTAAAATCGGAAGTCTATGGGAGCTCAATTGAAATGTCACATAATAATATAAAATTCAAAGAGAAACAATCAATGGCGTTAAAAAAAGGGATATAACTATTCTTGTAATAGATCCCCATTTAACAAGCGGCTATATTGTAAAAGTTACTACAGATCTAGCAGTAATTTACCTGTTTTAGGCGAGCGCTACTTACAAGACGGCGGCGCGCTAGCCTACCGACAGACTACCTACTTTTGCCGTTCCTTTCGCAATAGTTTAACTAGAAAAGCCCGCCAGGAAGTTGACCACCTCAAGCTTACGTCAAGTTCCACACCATAAATTAAAAGAGTACGGGGTAGCTATGCCAGAAATATCAAAGCGATCTTAAATTTAAGTAAGGCCCACAAATAAATGATTAAGTCCCTAGATTTGTGTGCTAATACATAAATAACAACATGGTACTGATGTTGTATTATTAAAGCTAGGTATTTATATTACCGGTAGTTGAGTGCGGGGTATGTGTAACTAGGATTGAGAATTCGTGTCTAATAGTCAGTTGTATAGTAATTGATAGTTAGACATTCATATGGGCTCCGGGTTGAGTGCGAACGATGAGCGCCTGAGTATTTAGGGTAAACAAATAAAATATGTAAGGTATATATTAACTGATTCGGAAAAAAAGGGCACAAAAGTATATCCCTGTGCGGTTGAGAACTATCCCGAGTGGTATAGGCGTTCGTGCATCCTTTATCGAATATGTGTACATAATGTTTCTGTTTCCTTTAATTTTGGAAATGATGACCAAAGCAATGAGTCAAAATAGACGAAGTGGGTTAGACATGAACATATATAAATTAATGTTGTAAAAGACAGAGTCGAACAAAGTGTAAAAGCTGCCAGTGTGTATACTACTGTATCTCAAAAAGAAAACAAAACAAAGTGTTTATTTTTTGCTGTAGATGAGAATCAATAAAGCCATTCTTTGTGTTGGCAAATACATTTGAGCTATACTATTTTTAACGCGTGAGCAGAGACTTATCTGTAATACTACTAATCTAGAGTTTTTTCTATTTATATGTAAGGCAAACTTGTGTGGCAGTTCGAGGCATTATTATCGATCTTCACAAACAAAAACAAAACGAAGAGTTTTCACCCTACCCAGCTGACTTCAGCATGTGTATGGTGTTCCAAAACAAAAGATAAGGTAATACATTCAGTAGATTCTTTTTCAGGCACCAGATATTTTTTATGTGCCAAAATGAAATTCAGTAGACTTTTGATTTAAGCTTGCAAAATATTTTGAAAGAGACTACTGAGTTGGGGCACTGGTTCCAAAAAAGTAAGATTTCGACGAATGGAAGTTTTATCCAGGGGCTAGTGTAGGACGAATTCCTAGCGAACCTGTGCTATCCAGAAATGGGCAGAAATCGAGATGAATATCCACTTTATTTAGGAGAAGCATTGTTTCTCTTTTTATCTATTAAATACGCAAATATACCTTCCTCGTTTCTCGCAGTTCTTTGACCCCGCCGTTTGCCCGAGTTTCTAAAATTTTTTTCCATTTATTTTCATGCACTTTTTTAATATAACCAGGAGAGCTCTCATCACTTGTATAGCTTAACGAGCTTTGTCTGAAAATGTTTTTGCTGTCGCCTGCTAGCAGTACGTTACCCAACAGTTCTAAGCCACTTGTAAGCTAATTGTATAATTAGCGTCGTTATTCATCATAAAAAGTGTTTTCATTTATCTTCTTGTAAAAACGAACGTGTGACTCCCGTTATTTCTAATCAGTACCAAATTTGCCCAAATTATCAAAATTCCAGTTGACTAGATATGAAATAAGATCATAGCATTTTAGCATTAAATTACAAAACTCTTATTTATATTCACAATTAGCGGCAATATCATTTAGTTCATTCATTGCTCGATAAATTTCAGTAAGTTTCTATTTTTATGTCCGTATACATAGAGTCCCGATGAAATATTAAGGTACTATAGCACCTTATTCGTGTCGCGTAACGGTAAAGTAATATTGCTCAGCTCTAGTAGCAGTAATATACACTGATGCGCCATATCATTTTATTTCTACATAAAAATCACGCAATATTTACAGACAGTGTAGTATGTTGTCACTTGTGCTTCCTCTAAGTCTTGAAACTTGGCTTTAATGTCGTTTAAGAATGTCTGATATAACATAAATGCCCTGCTAATATAAAAATACATTTGCTATCACGATAGAGTATCTGAATCCATCAGTTTAAGGGGTAAAGTTCACAATTTCGACCAAGGTCGTTTATCCGGTAACAGCTCACATGCAAAAGCTCCGTAAGCAATATATCCGTTATATAATACATTATCTACATTTAGCCGCAAGAAGCCAGAGGAGAAACCAGAGACATCCCGGCAGATTGGCCAGTTTCCGTTTTACAGGTAAGCATGGTGGATTACGATGTCAATAGAAACAGCTGAAATCCAGATATTTAAGTGGCCTTCTCGTCACGGTGTTACAAAAGAAGCAGAAACATCGTAAACGATGACACCATCAAAAGATGTGCTGTACAATGGTATTAGGGTTTTTTTTACGAAAAAGATCTGTAGATGATAATGGATTATAAAAAAAAAAGTTAGGCAGTCGTGAATTAAATGTATGATACAATTTTTAAACAGATTCAGAAACTAGCGGTCATCTATGATCACCTGAGACCCTTGCTGTTTCTCGGCCACAATTACTTCGTTTATTGGATTTGACTTCTTTAAATGATTACTGGTATTATTTCCGGTTGGGCTTTTTCCTTCCGATTCAGTGGTAGTCGGACAGCTGTTCTTACTGGCATCACTTCTGTCGGCACCATTATTATTGTTGTTGTTGTTGTTGTTGTTCGTACAGTTGTTGTTGTTGTTATTTTGACTGCCTCGGTTCTCGTTGTTTGTATTAGCATCCTCAAGACCGACACGGGAGGCCGGTAGAAGCTTCTCTTTCCAATAATCACTCTTTCTGCGTAGCTTTTCCACCGCATTTTCCGCCGCCGCTATCGCTTGAGCATGCGACACTACAAGAACATGTCCAAAAAAATTAGAAGCCCAGTGAGCTATACCGTTATTAATCATAATATCATGGTAGTTTGAGCAGATCTAGGAGTCGTAGAGCTGTTCAGTGAGCTCTATTTTGGAAAGCGATAAAAGACGTTGCTGATTTGACTAATATGGCACTTGACATTTTTACCACCATATATATATATTTATATAAGAGCACAGCATGAGTTTCATAAAGAAATTTACTCTCTCAGCATATCCTAAAACGCGACTTACTTGTCTACGAAGACTGTCGAAAATCATTGTTTTTATTTAGCTAGAAAGTCTCTCACATTTTTGAGAATAGAACCAGAGCAAAAAAAACCCTTTACTCATAAGAGGGTAAAAACTTGTATATATACTGGCAAAACTTCGAATCCAATTATACTCATAAGAGGGTAAAAACTTGTATATATACTGGCAAAACTTCGAATCCAATTATCTATAAGCGGTATTGGGTCGAAAAAAATATACGTTTGTTAAATATGTAAGCCTCCAGATATCTACACGTATCAATTGATTAAAATCAAATTACTATTGTTTATCGCCCTGCCGTCCTGAAGACGTTTATGGTGATTAACGAGGAGATCGAGAAGCACCTTCCAACCAAGCGGACTGTCCCTGCACTCCTTCGAGATCCATGCACACCAGGATCTATGCTCGAAAAAAGGATTCAATTGATCCTGTGGCCGTCGTTTCTTTTTTCCGCCTTGCACGATGGTTCTCGCCTCAAGAATATCCTTCGAGCCTCTGCGCTTTCTTTCTAACGAATTGGGCTGGTCACTATCACCGGAAACTCCGCTAGTACCACCCGCCGGCGAGGAAGCTTGGCTCTCTTCACACATCTTGTGTTGCGCTTCCTCGACAAGGCCTTCCTCCTCTCTGTACGAGAAATCAATAAAAAACTTAATATTATCTTTAGTTTTTAGGAATTGGATTTCTGTTGACCGATTTGTATGATTATTGCTACTAAAGACATGTGTAGAATGTTACTGTTTGCTTTGTTTAGATACTCTTTGTTGAAGTATTTGCTTCATTGTTTTGTTTGCGATGCCCTATAACCATGTCGAAGCGAAATAATACTGCGAAAAATACCGGCTGAGGTATATATGATTTTTTTTCGAAACTTTATATTCTAAACAGTTTCATCGAAGCGCATCTGAAATAGGAGCGCGCTAGTACCAATTCCATGGTATCATCCATAAAGTAGTAAGTATATGCAGCCGCTGTAGTGACATTATTTACATATTGAATGCTATGATATTGTAAATGAAGAAATGGAATAGAATTGAATATTCACTTAGTAAGGTGATGATCGTGTACCTGGTTAGCTTTCGGTAAAACATCGTACAAACTTTACGAAAACAGAAACCGCATCGGATGAATACAAATTTATTATACGCCGTTGAGTGGTGCTCCCAACCAAGAAGCGCTAGGATCACCAACTCCGTCGGTGTATCCTGTAAAGGAACAACCCATAAGCGCCCAATGGAGTCAACCATACATAAAAAAAAAAGCCGCCTAGACACAACATACTATACATTTTTATCTCTATTTTGACTATTATTTAATAGTTGATACGAATATTTAAATCATAACGAGTTTCATCAAAAATCAGAAATGGCATGACTTACCTTGAGATCGCTATCACGTTTGATTTTATCAAGCTGATCAAATTCATCCATTGTCACACAAGGTAGATCCTGCTTAAGCACACTAAGTGATTCAAGCCGCTGTTCAAAAGCAGCTACTAGTGCTGCCGCTGCGGTGGGCGAGATATATTTGAAGTGATCCGGACAGGGAGCAAAACGAAACGCACAACCCTTCGTATGGCCTGAACGAAGATTTCGCTCGATTTCCTTGAGGCATTTGCGTGCTATGTATAACAATGCAATCTTTTACGGTTATGCATACATCGCATATGTATATATATATATATATATATTTGCGATAACTCAATCAGTAACCATCTTACTTATCTTAGATCTACAGTGTATATATATATATATATATATATATCTTTGCTTACCGATATGGGCAGGCAGTTTTGCACTGACCTCCGCGAAAAGCTTTGAACCACACAATTCGCACGTGAGCATATTGCACGACGTCAGCCGCCACCCGAACATCGCACAGTTGGGTGGAGAAAGCGACGGTGGTTTCGATAACCAATGATGATTCTGTTTTAAATCCGAAATATTCGTAAAGGGAGAAGCGGCATCACTAGTAAGAAATGATCTAATAATAAATTAGGTATTAGATCATGCGTCCATCGCAGTAAGTGCTGCTACTAGAAATAAGGAACAGCTAAAAAATCTTGCGTGAAAACGAATGCTGTCAAATAGATTTAAACTAAACTCTTTTTGGAGCGATCACTAGTTTTTGAGAAATTAGAAAATAAGTAAGTAACAAAACGGGTTATAAGTTACGCTGCAATCAGTAGATGCTAATTGGAATGGGGAAAACTATACAATAGAAAGACAATGGCAGAATTCTTCTCGTTTATGTGTAATCAAAATCTTTTTGACTTGTTTTGTACAGTTACTTCAGAGACACTTACGACGCCTTCTTCATTGAAAAATGTGGCAATCCGAGACAAAAACTTGTTGAAATCAGCCGCATCTAGTTGGCCTAGATGAACCAGGTCGGTTTCTG